CCTTAAGCCCCCAGGAGAATCTCCCTGACCTCTGGAACCTGCATTCCCTGCAAAGAAAAGGCTAAAGCCTCCCAGAACATGAACACACCCTTGGATTCTCAGCACTGGCCTCCTCCCAAAGTTCGGGCCCACTGCTTGCTCACACTCAGTTTGCATCTGGGCCAGCACCATTCAGTGGACGAATGTGTTGACCCAAAATTGATATGTTGACGTCCTATCCCCCAAGCTGATGGTATCAGGAGGTGGGCCCTTTGGGATATGCTTAGATCATGAGCGGGGAGCCCTCATGAATGGGATTCATGCCCTAATCAAAAAGACCCCAGAGAGCAACCTAGCCCCTTTGCAGTGTGACAAAACAGTGAATAGACAGTCCTCTATGAGCCAGAAGGGTGACCTCACCAGACACAGAATCTGTTGGTGCGTTGGTCTTAGATCCCCAGCCTCCAGAACTATGGGAAATAAATGTATGATGTTTAAGCTTCCCAGACTGCAATAGTTTTGTTACAGCAGCTCAAACAGACTAAGACAAACATGGTTTCATTTGTTCTCTTTGACAGCTCAGTTTCTCCAAAAAGGACTCTTTTAACTATCCTGGATGCCAGGGTTGGGGGCACCAACTGTAGCACAGTGAAGGGGCCCCACTGTCTGTTTTCACTCACTGGGCCCCTCTTGTAACACATTCTTCCTCTCAGTCATTCCTGGTGCCCTCAACAGAGCATCTCTGCGATTCGCTCTCAATGACTAACCTTGAATTCCCTGCAGGATGGCGAACGAGAAGAAAGAGCAAGGATGAGAGCAGCTGGCCCACTCTTAGTGTCCCAGGAGTCAGAGAAGCTAGGAGTAAAACTACTTCTTAACCAGACTTCAAGCCTACTGCTGCGTTTCCAGTCTCCGCTTCTACTATGCCTTCTGAGATACCCATGCGTCCAATTTCTAAGGTTTTCTGAGGTTCTAAGGTAAAAAACAATTTGCTTCTTATTTTTCCCACCCTGTCTTTTATGGAGCTCTCTCTCTATCCTGGAGGATGAATTCATGCAAATTCTACCTGTTTACTTGTGCTCGCTTTGGCAGCACATATGCTCATTTACTGCCACTTCCCTAACATAGTTTCTACACTTCCTTAGTGGGAGCAGAGAGGGACCCCAGATTTTCCATACAACCACCCCTCTCAGCAACCATCACTGTGGGCAGGAGTGAGTGACACCCCACATCTCTACTTGCTCCTGTAAAGACTCCTGGCTCTCCCTCCATCCCCCCACAGCCAGCACTGAGACCCCCAGAACAGCTTCTTCATACTTTACCCCTGTTCACTTCAGCCACTACAAGATGCCCAGGGTTATTGGGTCCTCTCTTGTCATTTACAATCACATCTCAGTTAGACCTCATAAATTCATTAAATTACTGCCATTTCCCCCTCTTTCCAAAATCTATAAATCTTTTCTCTCTGCCCTCTGAAACTTGGAGTCAGCAGCACAAGCCCATATAATTCTCATCTTCTCTGAATGTCACCCTCTTACTCTCGCTGAAATCTGACTGTCCTCTGAGAACACTGATTTCTCTGCAGTCTCCACAAGTGATAGTTTTTCAATCTCTTTCACCTCCTGTCACTAGCCTTAAAGGTGGGGTTGGTGTCCTCTCCGCTCCTCCTTTCCACTTCCTATCTTCCTATCCTCCCCACAATTTGATTTCCTGCCATCAGACTGTGCCACAGACCACCCGTCATTGCCACAGACCCCATGCAAACTGGAGAACTCCTTTCTTCTCCGTTGGTCTTAACCCCTGGCTCACTGTCACTCTCCCGGCTTCTGCCATAATCCTTGGTGAACTTGGCCCCATGTAGACTTGGGCCCATCCTTCCAAATTTCCGGCCTCTCAGTTCTTTGACCTCCTCTCCCCCAATTATCTTGTCCTTTTTCATGCCTCAGCCACCCAGTCAGATGGTTAGCAAGAATAGTCTCAACTCTGAGATACCCATGGTCCAACCACCTTTTTTATCTCTCTAGCTCCATCCTATTAACTTGATCAAAGTACCCCTTCAACACCACTGGGATCCATGATCCCCTAGTCCTGCTATGTTATCCCTTTCCCTCACTTCATTCATGCTTTCCTTTCCCTTAGATTCCATGAGCTATCCTTATAATCACTCTTTGGCCCATAATCTCAATTTCTCTTCCTCTCTCCCCTTTCATTGAACTCCCTTGGCAAAACTCCAGCCCTGGTTGAATCCAGCTTTTCATTTACTCTGTCCAGCACCCAGGGAAGCTGAATATGGCTGGAAAAAAAAAATCTGTCATGCCGAAATGTCTCACCGTAAACACAGGGTCTCTATTTCACACCATCCTCTGACCCCTCAAACTCCAAAGTCCCCTCCCTCTCCTCAGGCTCAGCTGGTACAAAAATGAAACCCTGAGAAAAGAACATCCATTAGGTCCAGCCACTCCTGTCAATCATCCCACCTCTACGCCACCATGCATACTCTCTTCTTCCTGTCACTCTCCCGGTGCCCATCTCAGACCGACCTCTCCACATCAGCCACAAATCTCATCTTTTCCTGTCAACAGAAGAAAATTTCTTCAGGATTTCTCCCTTCTCTCTTGCATCATCTTTTTCTCTTTCTTATGTGTCATGGCAATCAGAATATAAATGAGTTATAATTTAAAACCTTCTCTTGACCCCACAACATCTACAGCTACTTCTTCACATTCTATTGCCCTTTACAGCAAAAGTCCATGAAAGGGATTGGGTATGCTCTCAGCCTTCGATGTCTCTCTTTCTGTTCTCTCTTAAATCCACTGGAATCAGGCCTTTGTTTGTGTCACTCCTTAAAAAAGGTCTTCTCACAGTCTCCAATGGTGTACACATGCTAAATCCGGTGGTGAATATTCAAATCTCATCATATTGGGTAGATGAGCAGCATTGAATATGACTCATCACTGCTTCCTTCTTGAAATGCTTTCTTCCTTTGGTTTCCAGTAAAAAACAAAACAAACAAAACAAAAAAGAACACTTCTTGTTGTTTTCCTCCTAACCCATTTGATGCTGTGTAATAAGTTACTCCAAAACTCAGTAGTTTAAAACAAATGACATATGTATTATTTCACAGATTGCTCCAGAAGAAGGTGATGAATTTGGGAACGTCTTAACTAGGTATTCCTGGTCCAGAACCTCTCATACAGTTGTAGTCGGAATGTCAGCAAGAACTGCAGTCATCTGAAGCTTCCACGGTGACTATCGGACCACTTCGTGATGGCTCACTCACACGATTGCTGGAATAAAGTGTCAGTTCCTTGCCATGTGGGCCTTTCTTCATAACACGGGGGCTAAACTGCCCCAGAGTGACCAATCCAAGAGACAGTGAGGAGGAAGTCACGGTGCTTTTTATAACCTGGTCTCTGGAGTCACATACCATTGCTTCTGCCATATTCTATTCATTAGAAGCTAGTCACTGGGAGAGGGATTAGACCATCTCTTGAAGAAAGATATATCAAAAAAACGGTGTGGAAATATTTTAAAATCACCACAGTACATACTCTGGCCACAAATTATTTACATTTCTCCCACACGGAAAATACCCTCATTCCCTCTAAAGGTCTCCAAAAGTATCATCCCACATGGCATCTGCATGAGGTCCAGGAAATTGTCATTTAAATTAGGTCCAGGTATGGATGAGGCTTCTTGGGTGTACTAGCTTACATAAAGCTCCTCAAGAACAAGTCTCAATATGAAGACTGCAGTCAGGAGGCTGTAGCCACCAACCTGGTGTATAATGGGATGGGGAAAGTGTTGCCTGAAGAGACAAGTTATCAGCCACACCCACACCCCCAACATGCAATGGTGGAACAGCATGGGATAGTCACAATAGGAGGTTGTGGGAGGCCAAAAGAGCACTGATCGATAGAAAATTGAAAATTCACCTGTGCAAATGTTGGAAGTTTCTCGTTCAGGACTCTGCCTTACTGCTACCCAGAGAATAATTCCCCATGGCTCTCGGCTCCTCCCTCTGGGCTTTTGATTCTTCCCTCTGAGTCATTCCTCACTTTCCATGAAAGGCAACACATGTTCACAGCTTCATAGTTTTCTCAGCCTTCTTCCTGCCAGTTAACTTTGGAGGACACAAAGGCCTTTTTAAAATTTTATACTCTCTCTATTCCTTTCAGTCCAAGCTGGTAGTGTGTTGAGAATGTCATCCTCTTTTTAAAAATATGTGGGTCTCCGATTAATCTTATTGAGATTCACTCAATTAAATGAAAGCCACATCCACACATCTCTTCAAAATAAGTTGTCCTCTGAACCCTGGACTTCTGCTGAAGGATAATGTCTCTGAGATCCTTAGAAGTCCTTGTGTTTGATTGACAGAATCTGTGAGGCACACACCCTTAAACTCGTTATAGGCCTTTTGTCTGAGGCACTACTTTTGATCTTTCTGAGATCGTAACAAAGGATATTACAGTCACACCCTTGGTTTCATCTTTAGACCATATTTACTTGAAAGTGCCCTGAATTTGATGTTAGCATCATTTACCTCTGGAGAGACTCAAGAATTTTAAAAGCCATCAAGACCCAGCTCCTTTATGTTTAATAGCCCCATCTGTTATTTCTCTCTCTCCTCTCACATTTACAATAAACCACAAGAAGAAACCAGGTAACACTTTGTCTGGAGATCTTATCTATGCCACCCAGTTCATTAGGTACATTTTCTACCTTCCACGTGACTGCAGGTGGCAGTGTTGCTAAATTTTCTGCCACTACATCACAAGGATCCCCCTCCCTTCTCATCTTCTGGCTAAATGAACCTGGAGAGCATACTTAAAGTCTCTATGCCCTGAAATTCACTAAAGAAAAATATGGAATTAGATTTTTCTATAGACATTTTTTTAAGTGACATTCCCCAAGCCTTGGCAGGTGAGGCAGCAGTGAGAGATGAGGCAGAGTGGTGCCCCAGGGCTAAGGCTGCCTCTCCCC